TTTCCTCTTCTTCTCTATCAGATATACGTATATAAATTGAGATGATGGCTAAGTCAAAGGGTTTTGCCCAAAACATGACTAACTTTACCCTGTCTGAGATAGGCAAGATGTCTTTCACCGTGATGCATAATTCATATTTCGCTAGCAGACCTACGTCTCCTCCTGCTGTATACATCTGTTTACAGTCTTCACTAATAAATGTTCTTGAACCAGTCCACCGTTAGGACACCTCACTTCAATCTCCTGGCACAAATTACTCAAACTTCCCGTTCTTTAAAGTCTTCATTTCTATCTCCATCTTGACATAAGGTACTACGCTGATGTTTTTATGGGTCCAAATATCAGAACTGATGGGTCGCACAGGAATGGGTTTTTCCTGCAACCCAACAGCAAATAATCCACCATTTACAGGAATATCAGAACCATCCTTGGTTCTCACAACCTGCCGTGAATATCTTTACTATTTCCTATAGTTAACTAGGGCTACATAGTGCGGTATGATGCCCAGTCCCCGTCCTCACCCAATGGTTGTTGGCGTCACTTATCACATAGGGGGTGGGGGTGGCAGGAGGAGGTTATCGGGATAACTTAAGTCACTAGACAAATCAACCCAAACACCACACGTTGACATCCATGACGCAGGAACAACTAACGAAAAACCAGTAGCACATGATTAACAAACTCAGGCACGGACTTCCACCGAGCGTAAAAAAACCCAGGCCGATTTTCACCCCGAACTAGAGCAACAGCCCGAATCGCCATAACTATATAGATCACACTACCTGACAAGGTCCTATATGCCTTCTATTCTCAGCCCCAGATCTCCTGATGAGATACAGGCTTCGAACTCCTTTTTCCGCCGACTCACCCCCCCCCCCTCTAAAGTGACGAAGAAGAAGTCTACGACCCGTATGACATAATTCCATTCAGCTTACAATTACCATCACCACCACCACGAATTTTCCTTAAGAAGAAAACCTTCCTGAACGAGTTAACAACGCCGACGATTTCTCCCACGCCTACTACTCTTTCCTCATACTCAAATCGCCCCATTCTTCGTCTGAGCACTGGTCAGGTAGAATATTGACCAGTGAAAGTGGGTTTTCTCTGGGGTACTCCCGTTTCTCCTCATGACAAATTTTACAGGCATAAGATTTATAGATCCCCGCCTCACTGAAGGACGAGAAGTCCGTTAGGGCACGTCTGTTTCGAGAAAGACAAGAAAAAATATTTTTACTTCGAGTATCTAACCCAGCAAGCTGCATCAACCTTTTCCGACCTTCTTAAGTCTCAGCACACTTACTAGCAAAAGGCACATTTTATTCATTACTGTTCTAAACAAACTTCCAAACACAGTCCTACACCATTGCCATGTGCGGGGCAAAAAGCAACTGAAGTTTGTGACTCCTCTGGTTATCTTTAAAGACCCTACATGGCTTGAAAGATTTTAAACCAAAATAATGACCAAGATATATTTAACTCTCGTAGTAATACTTGCGTTATTTACTATAAGCGTTTTTGTACTGCTATTTCGTTGTCTTGTAATCTGTCCTATAAGAAAGAGTAAACGTAACGAGCAGTGAATAGTAGTTTTTTGTAAAGGGATATTCCCCCCAGAAGCGATAGCGATGTGAGTTACGGTTATTGACACAATTTCTTCCCAATCTAAAAATGCTTTAATGTTGGCAAAAATTATTTCAATGTATTTCTCCTATATTTATAGAACACACAGTGTCTCAAGTTTCAGTTATTGTAGTTTGTTAATTTCAAAGGAAATTTGTGTGTAATGGGAAAGTACACGAAAGTAGCTCTAAGCTCTTTTAGAAGATAAGTCTACATGTTTCAAGTACATATGGCAATGTTTTGAGTCCGGAGAAAAATCTTGAATCATTCATCTTTTTTCTTTCCTTTTTTAAGGTTTTAATTGATTTTTTGAATCTGTAAGCTCGTCTTTAATTTCTACGATAATGTTGAAATACCGTGTAGAGTAGATATAAGGTTATAAGCCCTAAGGTAAACAGCTTTAGAAAGCAATAAAGGACTCATCTGCGCCTATAGGCTTCTAGCATCAAGAACCCGTATGCTGTATTGAGCTGTGAAGTTCTGACTCATTACAGATTCGTTGGTTGTGTTCTTCACTTGAATCCTGTACATCAGGAAGAGAAAGATGAAAGAGTGGGTCGATCGACGATTTTTGTTGGCATCAGCAGGAGAAATGCTCGCTAGATACAAGCTGTTGCAGTGCGTTAGAGTTTTATTACTACAGTTATATTTTTCGTCTAACCTAAATTTGCTGATTACTGAATGGAAGGCCTTCTGATACTAGGACTTAATACTTTTAGTGTGAATAAGAGAGTCCTCTTTAGACATAATGAAATTAAGTTCAAGTATCTAACAGGATCTTAACTCGGTAACCCATCCCTTCACGAAAGATAAAAATCATATTACATTAATGTATGTCTATGAGTTAAGTAACCAGATAAACATATATATATTTTATATATATATAACGTCTTATGGAAAATACAACTGGTAAATAACTAAAAAGAACATATTTGGTTAAAAACTGTCAATAATTCAGAGGAAGCGCTACCATTAAATACCGCCTTGTACGGCGTTCATGTGTTTTTTATAGAGACGTTATACAGTATTTTGGTCTTACTGTTTCAAGGAAACAGTTTCAGGATAATGTTATTTGAATAGTTGGTATCGTAAATTATTCTGTGTATCGTAATTTTCTTATCAATATTAGAAGGTATGACATTAATATTTTTCGCAGATCAAATAAATCTAGACAATTTCAAGAGGTTTTAAGGTTTAAAAACAGCTTTACGTTCAGCGTGTTATTCTGTTTCTCCATTGCCTGAACTTCTATCGCTAGGAAAAGTAAACACTGAAAAATACCACGGTTTTGAAAGGCGGGAAACCGATCATTTACAGTAGAGTGATAAAAAAGTTTCAGCCAAACTGAATACGACATTTTAAGACGGTTTCGATGAACGAAAAGGCCATTTCCTTTTGCAGTAAATTGGAATTCGAAAGGGGGAGCTTTTGATTTCTCTTAAGTTTGCTTTTAAAAGGTAGAAAATTACTTTGTGAAAAGTTATTCTACATCATAACTGGAAAAGTATTTCTCAATACTGTAATTTCATCACTGCCACGATTGTCCTAGCCTGGCGTAGAAGAGAAAAAAAGACAGATTTATTATGAGCATTACAGTGATATAGCAGCAAATCTGACATCTCATATAGTTGAAAAACTTTAAATCTTAACCTTTAAAATGTTTTTCCTCTAACAAACCTGGTGCAATACATGTGGTTAAAACAGAACGTAAGATTATAATTATTCATATTTACCGGTTGATAAACTATTCATTAACTGACATTATTCATTATACTAACAGTTTTACAAACTGACTCAAGGTTGAAAAATACTACTATTTACTTAGTGTTCAAAATTAATTTCGAGGTGAAATAGTTGATAATTAAAACACATCATTAACTGATAACTCAAAGTAACCTAATAATGGTACCTGATGATGCTTTTACTGGCGAAACCATGGTCGTTAACATATGAAGTTTTTGTGAAACGTACAATTCTCTTTGTCTTTCTTTTCATCAATTCTGTAATAATGATCTGATTGTAGCTGAAAAATACCATTCATTGTAGATTATTCACATTTATTTTGGCATGATGTGTTTGGTTATTGAAACAGGCGAGTAATTGACAATTACTCAAACGTAGCTCTTCATAAGCTTGCTAGCATAATTGAAGGCAGAAACAGACCGTCAATTTTTAATTATTCAAGCTTACTTTATCATGAACTCATCGATAGCTGAGACAGATTGTTAATATAAGTCACCCGAAATTTACATTGTAATGAACATGTTTTAATTATTGAAACAGACAGTAAGCTGACAAATACTAAAATTTTGATTTTGATAAACTTCATAACAAAGTATGATGGAAACAAGCAGTTAGTTGATAATTAAACAAATGTACCCTTCACAATTGTTTGGTTTTACAGGTTTATTTTCTTTTGATATTGCTTATATGATTGATTAGAAGGTGGGACTTGTGGGGTAAAGAGCTTTTTTGTTAGCTAAATATTAAAGAAACGTTAAACAAAATTACAAAAATATGTATTTAAATTTAGGAAAACAGAGTACAATAAGAAAGGGTATTAGTGATACAATAGAAAATAATTAACCAGCATACCATGTATATATGTTGTGTATTAATCGTATACCTGCGAAAATAACCTCACAATACTGTTAATACACCATAAAACCACTTCTTAATTCAACTAATTCTGAACAAAATTCGTGTTCTATATAATATAACAATCGGTCAAGGTAGAATCTTTATTTATGGAACTATTTAGTAATCCAAACCAGAAATGTACTTCAAATTCCTATTTCTTCCCTTCTCAATGTTTTGTTGTTTAAAAAACATACAGTTCGACTTAGCTGCTAATTGCTAAGTGTTCCTGTAATTTGTTTGTTGGGTTTACTACCATCAATTACTGGGCGTCTTAGAATTTCATTTAAATATATTTTTTGGATCGTAGTTTTATGTTTTGGAACATATTTTTGATACTAATCAATAAATACCTAGCCCGAGCGCTTTCATGAGATAGATATTCCTTTTTCTGAAGAGAAGATGTACTTTCCAGAAACGACGTAGTGTCAAGTTTCTTGAGGATTTATTTTGTATCTAATTTCAGGTTCTAGAAGTTTTATAAATATCTAAAGTTAACCTGATATCCTCTACCATTATTTTATTTACAGTTCGAAACTAAAAGTTCAGTATTTTCTGCACGATTTAAAATGTAGAGAAGAAACAAGAAAATTTTACCCGGTTAATTAAAAAGAAGTATAATAAGGTGCGACCAGCACTTGTCATTCCATCAGTTGAGTGCGTTTATATGTATCACAATGTGTAGCGTAATTTAGATGTTTAAGAAAAAAAGTTGATATGTTATTACTCATGTATTTCAGATAGAAGACGCAATGCTCATGTTTGACAAACAAACCAACAGGCACAGAGGTGAGTCTGTTCCATATATATGTGATATCTTTACATGTAACCCTCAAACTAACGACTTGTCTTTATACCTATGGGATCCAAATATTATATGATATTGAACAATGTTATGTTTTTGTTACAATACCAAAATATATTAAGTGAAATCCCTTATCTTCTGTATAAAAGATAATAAGTGATCATGTCTGCCTTTTCACCTACCCTCCAGAAGCTACAAAATTGAAGTAGATTTGAATCGTGGATATTTCTAAAAATTCTTATATAGAAATTATATTAATTCACATATGGGCTTATTTACAGTTGCGTTAAGATTTTTTGTGTTATAAGAACCCTGTAACTAACAGTCGTGGTTTTTTGGTTTGAAGTTAAGCACAAACCTACACATTGGGCGATCGGGGCTCTGCCCACCACTGGTATCGAAACCCGGTTTCTAGTGTTGTAAGTCCGCGGATATACCGCTGTGCCACTGGGGGCATCTCTTTAAGAGAATTCCGAATTGCAAATTTCTTTCAGTTCTTCGCTGCAGTGTCATTCACGCATATACTCTTAGATTTACTGTTATAATGTGGGTCGTGTATATGATATAGTTAGTTTTAAGTCCTCGGACATACCGCTGTACCACTGGGGAGCAACAGTCGTGGATCCATAAGAAGTTTTTTACATAAAATTTAGAAAAATATATTTATAAGGCCTATGAGGTCCATATACACAGCGTGGTCACAAGTAAATAGACACCACCTTTTCAGAAAAAATGA